CTTGGTAAAGCGGGATTGTCCTTGGGAAACTGGGAATTGTCCTTTGGAACCTGGGGATTGTCCTTGGGAAACTGGGAATTGTCCTTGGAAACTGGGAATTGTCCTTGGAACTTGGGAATTGTCCTTGGAACCCTGGGGATTGTCCTTGGGAAACTGGGAATTGTCCTTGGAAACTGGGAATTGTCCTTGGAACTTGGGAATTGTCCTTGGAACTTGGGAATTGTCCTTGGAACTTGGGGATTGTCCTTGGGAAACTGGGAATTGTCCTTGGGAAACTGGGAATTGTCCTTGGGAAACTGGGAATCGTCCTTGGGAACCTGGGGATCCTTCTTGGAACCCTGGGAATTGTCCTTGGAACTTGGGAATTGTCCTTGGGAAACTGGGAATTGTCCTTGGAACCCTTGGGAATTGTCCTTGGAACTTGGGAATTGTCCTTGGAACTTGGGAATTGTCCTTGGAACTTGGAAATGTCCTTGGAACCCTGGGGATTGTCCTTGGAACCCTTGGGAATTTCACCCTGTTTTTGTCCCATCCTTGCTGTTTTTGGGGTCTTTCCTCCTGCTTTTTTCCCATTCCCGCTGTTTTTGGGGTCTTTCCTCCTGCTTTTGTCCCATTCCTGCTCCTTTGGGGACTTTTCCATCTCCCACCACGGCCGGATCCTTTCCCTGTCCCCGGAAAATCGCGGCTGCTCCAGCAGGATCCAGCCTGGGCCGCTCCCCTGAGCAGGAACAGGATAAAACCAGGAGCACATCCCATCTCCTGAAATCCCTGAAATTCCCTCTCCAGAGCCGGAAAACCCACCCCCCTCCTCCAACAACACCCAAAGGGCCGTGGGAATCCCCACATCCTCCACATTCCCACTTCCCCGGGCTGTTTTCCCTGTTTTCCGGGCTCTTTTTTCCCTGTTTTCTGACGCTGTGCTCTCTCCTAGATGATATCAGTGGGACGCTGCCTCCGGCTGTGCTTGTGGGTCCGATGGGCTCTTCCCTGCAATCCTTCCCTCTGCCTCCTCCTCCTCCGCCCCACGCCCCAGGTCAGCTTTTCCAGCTCTGCCTTTTCCCTCCTGGAATCCTCCTGGAATCTCCAATTTTTAAATTTTATTTTTTTTTTATTTTTTTTTTTTGGGGGGGGCGGTGGGGGATGGGGTGTGTGGTTTTGTTTCCTTTTCCCTGCTCTGCTCCGAGGTTTTCCCGCTGTCCTGGAGGTCCCGGCTCCGCTTTCCCTCGGGAAATTGGAGTTTTTCCTCGGTTTTTTCCCGGTTCCTCTGGGGTTTATCCCATCCCGACAAGGAGGGCAGGGAAGAGCAGAATTCCAGGCGCATTCCGTCCTTCCCCCACAACTTTCCTGTGCGTTCCCCTTCTGCTTTGCGCTCCTCCAGCTCCACAGAGCTTTGCCTGTCCTGTTTTCCTGGGATTCCTGTCGCTTTTCCCGGGATTCCTG